TTAAATTGTTCAGTTCTGACCTGCGTTGTTCTGTTACAATGTCCTCTTTTATCTCAATCTCCCCCCTTTTTTTAAGTTAATCTATTTTCTCTCATTTTTTTAAATTAAGGGAGAACTGAATTAAAAAATAGCGGGACATATTATAGTAACTTTTTTGTTTTCCTATTAACCTGATTTGAACCCCAGTATTGCCATCCCCATCTTGTTCTGTCTGATTATTCTAGATTCTATTTTGTTTAATAGTATCAAGTTTGAGGGTATAGGCAACCACTTTGAAGGCAATAAGATATACTATGACGCCCATTATGGTTTGACTATTACCTTTTTTTGAAGTCCTGTAATGTCTCCAGTGTAGGTTTTATTGGTCTTGTTCTGTACTGTTTTGATCAATTCTATTATACCTGATGATATAGGCAACTCAATTTAAAAACAGCAAGAGGCACAATGGTAACCACTTTTGAGCACCTGGTATTCTATTTTTGCATCATGTATTATGCCCACCCTTCAGTTCTGACTCTGTTTTGCTTAGTCACATTTGGTTTTATTCTCTTCACAAAAAGTAATAAGAACTGTGGGAGTAATAAAACCCAAAAAGTGTAATTGTTATTGTAAAAAAGAGAGGAAAGGAAGGTGGACTAAGGAATATAACTGCAGGTATGTTTGAGTGTGTAGGATGGAAAACCATATTCCTGAGCTTTTGTTGGATCACTGAACAGAACTGTCTCTAATATCACTGTATGAATGTCCACTTTATATGCTTTAATTTTATAATTTGGACAACTGTTTCTAGGAAGAGAATATGTAACCTATTAACTAGTGATTTCTTACTGTATATTTTTTTTCTTGAAATTCTGTATTATTTGTACCCTTTTACTGCTTTGTTTTTTTATGTCCTTTCTTTTTTCTCTTTAAATAAAAAAAAGCAAGAAAGAAAAAGGGATACAGGGATGGATGATAAATGTATGGACCAATGAATGGAGTGACTAAATGTCTTGGTTACTTTTCTCTGGTTGTTGAGACAAAATACCTGACATCCAAAATGAAAGAAGGAAAGGTTATTTAGCTTACAGTGTTTTTGGAGATATCAGTCCATACTCAGCTGGCTCCAAGGCACAGTGGCGTCGCCTAGGGGCAGCCTTTCATGGAGGCTGCCACAGATATCAGAAGCAACCAGAGCAAAAGGGCAAAAAGGGAGGAGCAGGCCTCTTTCCCTCCCTTAACTGTATGCAAGCTGACAGCCTCAGGGCCAGTGTAGCACATGCATTGAATCACTTACAAACTCTAGATTCAGCCACCTCCTCCATCACTGCATGCGGTATTGGGGGACATCCAGATGTAAACCATAACACTGGATGAATGAGTGAGGGAGTGAAGAAGGAATGAATGAATGAATGCCTTCTATCTACCAAGGGACAACTCGATCACATGAGAAACTTCCGAAGCGGAGAGGCCACTGAAGTCAGAACTTGGACAACACCCAAGATGCACCAAGCCTTCAAAGCAACAGGGGAAGCAGGGCACTTCCTAAACCTGCCTGAGATGGATGGCATGGCCACTCTGTATGGGTCCTTCCCCCATCTGAATCCAACGAAGGCCCATGGGAGACAGCTAGACAGATAAGAAGAGTAAAAAGAAACTCATCCTTCTGCCCCCAGACTGTGACCCAGAACCCACACGGGCTCCCACGGCAGTGAGAGAGCCAGGCCTGGAGACTGACCCTCTCTGCCCACTGCCTCTCCTACCGCCAGGTGACAGCTGCACTATAATCCTAGAGCTTCGCCTCCCAGAGAAGAAAAATGTCATTTCCTCTTGGCTGGGACACTTGTCATGGCCTAGGGGTGGGCAGGAGCAGAGAGGAGGGCACAGTAATGGCCACAGTTACATGGTCCGATGTGACACATCTCAAGTAGGCATAGGTGTCCCTCCTGGGCACACCTGGAGTGGGCCCTGCTGTCCCTACTGGACCAAGTTACAGATGGCAAAAATATCCACAATAGGGGCTGGGGATTTAGCTCAGCGGCATAAACGCTTGCCTTGCAAGCAGGCAGTCGTGAGGTCGATCCCTGGTACCGATAAAAACAAAGAAGACAAAAAAAAAAAAGACAAAAAAAAAAAAAAAATATCCACAATAGGGGCTGGGTCAAAACATACCTGTCCCAAGAAAATGCCATCAAGAGTCACCAGGAAAGACTGCAGTTGGACTCCACACAGCAGCCCCTCTTGGGGAGGATCCCCAGTGCCCCGGTGTCTCTGGCTCCAGGTGTCGCTCTGCACAGTGCTAACCACAGGTTTACTTCTGGAATACCACACAGAAACTGAGGCAGGTGGCCACAAAGTCTGGGCAGGGGAGCAGGTCTGAGGGACGCAGACTTTCTCTCTGCTACCAGGGCACCAGTGCTGCGCAGTCCTGGATGATGCAGCCACCAGCCACCACATCCACAGGCCACGGCCACCCAGCCAAAGGGAGGTCACAAGCACAGCCACATCCCTCTCCCAGGCTGCAGCAGGAGCCAGGAACTCCACAGACCCACACAGGCACATCACCACTGCCATTATAAGTGGGCCCTAGGTAAACAGAATCACCCAGCAAGGCCACTGCCTGATGATGGCAGAGCTGGGACATCATGAGGCCCACAGGCTTAGCTCCTGGCTCGGCCTACACCGGGCAAGCGCTCCATCTTTACAGATGAGAGTGCAGAAGAAGCAGTGACAGGGAGCATGCTGCCACCTTTGGTGATAATCCATGTTTGCTCCCCGACACAGACGGCAGCCACCCCATGGGGTCCCATGGCGCCCAGGCCAAGTGCAGAGGGCATCCCACGTACCCACCACCTCGGGCAGCTCTGCACACTCAGCAACATGGAGTCACAGTCCCAGGTCACCTCACCAGGATCTGATGGAGCCAGGATGAGAAGATGACCTCAGGGCTGGGCAGGGAAGGCAGCCCTGCAAGGCCAACTGAGGTTAAGCCTTGCTGCTCTCCGAGGCCCAGGGTCTCAGGCAATGCAGGAGGCTGGACCCTGAACCCCTCACATCTGCCTGAGCAGTCACCTCCGGTCCCAGCAACCCATACTGTGAGATGGTCCACTCCCAGCTCCCTACAGGCAGATGCCAGGGTGCAACAGAGCCCGGCCACAGACCAGCCCGAGGAGATTTGGGCAGACCAGGGTGAGGCAAGACGAATGGAGCCCCCGGCACAGCGCCTGAGCCACCACAGCGCCTCCGCAGGACCACAGGCAGCGACAAGGGCGTCCCTTTGAGAACGCCCGGCCACACAGTTGGCTGGCCATCTGATGAGGGTTTAATTCAAATTTATGCACGTCTTACATCATTGCATTCCGATGCAGCAAATTAAGAGCAAAATGAAATTACACAGTGAGTCCTCTGGACTTTAACTGTGGGCCAGCACTGGGCTTGGCCGGCTGCCTCTCCATGCAGCCCTCTTCATGCCAGCCGCGTACATGAACACGTGTAAGAGCGAGTATGTGTCTGAGTGTGAACAGGGTATGTGTGCATGGGTGTGGGGATACTCGTGAGTGCAACTGTGAATGAGTGCCTCATGCAAGAGCGATATGTGGACACACGTGCCCACAGGTGTGGTGCACAAGAGGTACATATCCATAGGGTACAAATGTGTGTGTGCAGACAGCTATATGTGAATGTGAATGTGTAAGTTACAATTATGTGTACACACATGCACACACATGCAGTTCTGGCCTTGTCCCTCCTGGGCCTGAGGGCAGAGCCTGCTCTGCTCTTTGCCCAAGTAAAGGTCAGTAGCAGTTTCAAACAGTCAGGGCAGAGACACTGCCAGGTGCCACCTGAGCCTCACCCAGATTCCAGGCCAGCTGACAGACACCCCGGGCAGAGGGAGGCAAGCATGACCTGAGTCAAAGTTCCTGCACACGCCTCTGCCCTGCAGCCCAGGATGGACCTTCAAAGGTCATGGGAGAGACAGACGGAAACTTCCCAGAGCGAGGTGGTCACAGACAGACATGGCTCTCGCAGGAGTCCCCAGACCTCCTGTCTACAGAATCGGGGACTGAGGGGAGTCCCCGCCGCGCCCAGGTGGCTGCTCACGGGAAGCCCTCATCACGCAGGCCCAGCAACAACATGGGACCACAGAGACGGCTTCTCCTGGACCTGATTCCTCTGCGACTGCAACTGCAATATAAAATCCCTTCTGCGGTTTATAAATCACGCTCTCCAAGTCCCCGGCACCATCCTCAGATAAACCCAGGCGAGGCTGTCAGGCCTCTCCAGGACAACATGCACCATGCTTCCCAGACGCAGCGAGTACTGTAGCCTACTCTTGACCTGCTTTCGTTTGCCAGGGCCCAACTCACTCTGCTGAGCTAGTTTCTCTCCCACTCTTCACTCTTAGTTTCTTGAATAAACATTGCCATAGCTTTTAAAAATCAATCAACCAACCAATGCATCCATCAATCAGGCGATGAGCGTCCACTATCTCCCATCAGCAGGCAAAAAGCTACTCCCCAACAGGGGCTGAGCAAGGAGAGCCCAAAAGCAGGAGGGACAGCGCTGGCCAGTCACAGAGCAGCGGTATCCGGGTGCTGAACCCAGAGATTGACCGGAGAAACATAGACCTGCTGCACTTCCCCACACCAAGTAACATCGTGTCACTACACCGAGGCTGGCAGGAAGCCACTCATCAGTCCCAGCCCCAGGGCCTCTGCCCTTGCCCAGCTCTGGTCCCTTCATCTGTGGGGGCCCCCACATCCTGCTTTCCCTCCTCTCACAGGGTCCGAGACACCTGACGCCAGCCACCTGCATGGGACAGGCAGGGACCATTCTGCTGCCCCAGTCTAATGGACAGCCACACCCCCATGCCTCCCGAGTGGAGCCCAGCCTGGCCCACAGCTGCCCGGCACAAGGTGTGGCTTGGCGGCGCCCAGCCCCTTCCTGTACCTGTGGCCCAGCCACGCCCAGCCACTTCATCTACACACCGAGCACACCGAGCGGGAGATGGGACCACTCACCTTCCCGAAGTCACGGACATCGAAGAGGTCGAAGGGGTCGAACAGCTCGCTGTTCCTCAGGCCAAACTTATCGTGGCAGACTTTGAGGAAGGTACGGATGTTCTTCAGACACAGGAACTAGAGAGAGGCAAGGAGGAGGCAGTGAATGCACTGGTAGGCCTGGGGCGTCTTGGGCACAGACAGAGAGCCCAGAGGGCAGCTGAGACCTGGCCCTAGTCGGGGTGCTGGGCTGGGATAGCACAGAGGTCACCTCCTGCGTTGTGCCCCTGGGAGTCAGTGGAGGGACCCTGACCCCCGCCAGGGCGCTTGAGAAGCAACCGGCGGCTCCCTGGCTCCTCCCAGCTGTTCACAATTGTCCACCTGGAACTCTTCCCCATCCGTGTCCAGCAGAAGCCAACGCTGAACATCACAGCAGGGACAGCAGAGCACACAGCATGTGACTTGCCGCAGCTCAAAGCCCCTAATTGCTGCAAGGCCACAGAGCCAGCGGCCAGGAGCCACCCCACAGGAAGCCCTGCAGCCCCATGTTCAGCAGTGCTGGCCACAAAGGAGGGAGCAGAAGCACAAGGCCAGAGCCTCCCCATCCCATCTGGGTCACCTCTTCCTCCAGCATCCCACAGCAAGGCGGTGAAGGGAACCAGTCCAGGCCTTGTGCAAAGGCAGCTGGTAAGACGATCCTGGGTTCAAATCCTACCAGTGCAAGCACAGCACAGGAGGGCAGCCCAGCTCCTGTGGCCCGGTTTCCTGGTGTCCCTGTCTCCCTGGGCTCACTGTGTACCCTGATAGCACAGAGAGGGCACTTGGCACCTGGCAGCCATCAGCCCCCACTCCAGCTCAGCATACGGATGTGTGCAAGGCAGGAAGCCTGGCAGAGACGGGCCAAAGTCACTCATTAAACCCACAAGGGCCAAACCACAAAACCTGGAGAGATCCACAGAGCACCAGTCCCTGCCACCCACCTAAAAGGGACAAAGGGGAAGTCGGCAAAGGACAGCAAGCATTGGATCAGAGGAGTCAACCCAGGCATATGCTCAGGTTGGTGTAAACCAAGCGCCAGAGAACACCACACGATCACTGCCCCCATCACAGGAGAACTGCCCCCCATGCGTACTTCTGCCCCCCACCATGCAGGCCTCTGTGGCCCCAAGACATGCACCACTGCCCCCCAGCAGGCAGGGTCCCAGGTGCCCAGCCTCAGGCCACACACCGCCTGGCCTGGCCAGGCTGGGCCCTGTGCACAGATAACCCACTTCCTCTACACCAGTCACTCTCTTCCCTATGTGTCTGTCTGTCTCTCTCTCTCTCTCTCTCTCTGTACACTGTGCTATCCCCAAGCACCTGAGCCCCTATCTCCTAAGGACGAGGCCGCCTTCTCCCAGCCACACACGCAGCATCAAGACCAGGACAGGGGCCCGGGGATTTAGCTCAGCGGCATAAGTGCCTGCCTAGTAAGCCCAAGGTGGTGAGTTTGAGCCCCAGTACAAAACCCAAAAAAAAAAAGACCAGGACAGGGACACACAGGCCATACAGCCATCTCCCGGCCGCACTTATATGTCTTCACTCCCCGCAAAGGACAACCCCAGTGTCCTTTACAGTAACAACAAAACCCAGCCCAGGGCCACACACCTGGGATTGGAGCTGTCACATCTGCTTAGTCACCAGACGCCCTGAACAAGGTCCTCCAACAGAACTGCCTGGATCTGCTGTCCAAGAAGGCGGCCACCACACGCGGACCCACAGGCGCTCGAAACATGGCTAGTCCAACAGGAACCCTGAGGTTCTCATTTTATTAATTACACATTAAACTAAAATCCACATGTGTCTAGAACCTGCTGTTTGGACAACGTGAACCCCAAAGGCCCTGAGGGACACAGACCCCCCATAAGGGAGGGTCCACCCACCAGAAGTCCCCAGGGTTGTCCTGAAGTTTCTCAGCCCACTGGTGCAGGAAGCATGAATTCCCTCTCTCTCCCTCTCTGTCTCTCTCTGTCTCTCTGTCTCTCTCTCTCTGTCTCTCTGTCTCCGTCTCTGTCTCTCTCTCTCCTCCTTCCCTTTTTTTTTATTAGTACACGTGTGTGGTATACAAAGCTTACCTTCCCCGTGTGGAGTCTAGTGCGTGTACACACACATTCCGATTCCTTCTTTCATGCCCTGCCCTCCGCTCCACCTTTCCCTCCGACCTGTACCCCCTTTCCCTTTGGAGGACCTGTGTTCCTACTGCCCATTACCTGTCTTTTATTTTGCTTTTTATTTCTACTTTGGGTTTCTGGTGCTAGAGAAGCCACAGTTCAAACTCGCATGAGTTGTGGGTTCTGTGTGCTTTCCTACCATAAAAGGCTAAGATGAAAGATGCAGAGGAAAGCCACAGAGCCTGGGGACACAGGCTACTTGATGGCTACAGAGCAGGGACCGGAGTGACGTCGCCCTGGCGGGGAATGGGAAGCTGGCGCACAGCCACTGGGGCCTGGGAGAGCCTCGACCCGCTGGCCCCAGGAACCCTGAGAAAAACAGCCGGACGGCTCTTCTGCCCCAGAGTTCGGGCCCCCACAGTTGAGACGGCGGCTCAGGGCATGGATACGGCCCACCCTGGGCACCTGCGGAGGCCTGGCCCTCAGTGCCCCACTCGTGCTCTGCGTGCCCTGCTCTGGGGTGCACACTGCAGCTTCAGCCTGGCTCCAGTACTTTTTGCAAACAGCTGTCTCTAATTTCCACAAAGCGTTTATTTTAATGCATCCTCAGCTGACCATTTTAGAGTTAATTACACGGGTTCTGACCATAATCACAGTCGGCACGGCCAGGCTTTCTTTCAGGGCTCAAATGAGCCAGCATCCCTTACCCTTGCCCGTTGGCCCAACCTCTCTGCCTGGCCTGGCCTGAGCCTACTCCACCCTCAGCCATGCCAACCAACCTGAGTTGCAGGAATCCTGCCTGGTGTTGCTCAGTGCCCCCCCCCACCCAGGCACCCAGACCAGGCCTGAAAGACGTCGGGCATCTGAGTGACAAACTGCGGTGAAGGGGCTGGTCAATGCCTCTCTACTCCTCACCCCTCCATGCAGAGAGGGTATCCACAGCCTGGCCCCCTCACAGGGTGTCCCGAGGCCCCTCACTTATGTTTATTCATCCAATTGACACGGGAAACTGAGGCAGCACACGTTAGGGACCTCAGCACCCAACCAGAAGGCGACAAGTCCAGGAACCAATTGCTTCAAGATGGGGAGGGGCAGGGATACAGTGGGCAGTGCGGAGGGCTGTACCCTTGTCGGCACCCATGATTCCTCAGGGGCCAGCCTACCTCTCTCCTTCACTGCACCATCGGGGAAACCAGTGGGGAGGGAGGATGGAACTTGCCCACATTCCAATTTCTGGTCCCTTCCTGTCCAAGATGGGGTTCCTTTCCCCCCACACAGCCCCAGGGCCCAGAGGAACAGTTGGCCGGGGCCTGGCTGCTCCCAACAGCAGGGACAGAAAGGCTCTAGAAAGGGACTCGAAAGGCCAGGATTTAGCTCAGGGGCATAAGCATCTGCCTTGCAAGCACGTGGTCCTGAGTTCAATTCCCGATACCAATTTAAAAAAAAAAAAAAGGGACTCTAAGGTCTGGAGCAAAGGAAGATGGGGCCTGTGGCAGACCCAAATCTAGTGATGAAGGGTGATGGTCTGGGCTGCTCAGCGAGGGTGACAGCCACCCTGCCCAGGCCTCTCAGCTGCCGTCAGCCCCTAGGATCTGATCAGGCTGAACCAGACTAGTGCCAGACACCAGGTCCATGCCAGGCTCAGCCAGATGCCCAGCCCAGACCACTGCCCTGTGCCACCTGTCATTCAGCTTCAGAGGAACCTGGGGGCAGTGGAGTACAAGAAGTGGCCAATGTCCGCCATGGCCACTGCTACACATGCCTATAAAATCCCACGGTGGGGACCTGCTCTCTGCCCTGCACAGGAACAGCAGGCTGGGGAGGACGACCTGAGAGAGAAGGGCCCTGAAGCTGCACAGACCCTCCTGCCACCCTCACAGGGTCCAGGCACTGCTGGACGGGGCACAGGACAGGCCTGCCTCACCCTCTGGGGCTCAGTCTCTCTGGGATGCTGACAGCCTCAGGGCAGAGATGGGGGTGCATCGGGGGAATCTGAGGCCTGGGAGGCACCTTCCTTCCTGGCTTCACCGGGGAACTGAATGTGAACACAGGAAGACCAGGCAGGTGGGCACTGACCACATGTGGGCAGGATGCCCATGCACCCACCCCCATTGCCACATTTTTTGGTGCTGCCTCTGACCCTGGAAGGATGCAGGGGTCCCACTCTGCCCCACGGTTTGATATGCTACAGTCAGGTCAGAGCAGCCAGACACCCAGGTCACTAAGCAGTGGGCACAAGGGACATCCTGTCCTATAAGGACTGGAGGCCCGTGTTTCCTAAGCTGGTGCTGCGACGTCCCTGCAGCCAGCTCCCTGCTCAGGTGGCCAAGACAGAGCAGCAGGTGCCCTTTGCTGCAGGACCTGGGCATCTCGTCCCTTCAGTGAGGGCCTGGCCAGTCCCTTCCCACACTGACCCTGAGCACCGCACACTGACTCATGACCGTCACAAAGGCCCCGCTGCACTTGGGGTTTTCCAGGACTCTGGGGCTAGGCCTTCCTCACAGCCACCCCGAGTCCTTACACAAGGGGTTCTCAGAATACAGATGAGGGGGACAAGGTTGCCAGAGGTCTCCTGACTGCCTGAGTCCACCAGCAAGATGTGTGTGGCAGAGCTAGGGCAGGTCTGGTCTGCTCTGCCCTCCAAGGCCAGGTCGCTGACCCTTATACTGCCCTCTATGAGTCTGAGCAGAGGAGAACAGAATTTTGTCAAGAAAAAAGAGTCGGGGGCTGGGGATTTAGCTCAGCGGCAAAAGCGCCTGCCTTGCAAGCAGGCAGTCATGAGTTCGATCCCTGGTACCGATAAAAAGGAAAAAGACCCCCCCCCAAAAAAAAAGAAAAGAAAAAAAGAGTCAGGTGTGATGATGCACGCCCGTGACCCTAGTACTTGGGAGGCTGAGGCAGAGAATTTGTTGGAGGTTCAAGGACAGTTTGGGCTATACAGTGAGTTTCATGCCAGCCTGAACTACAGAGTGAGCCCGTCTCTCAACAAAACAAAACAAAACAAAACAAAACGGCTCTTTAGGAAAATTAAACAGAAGTCCAGCCTGAGTCCCCTGCCCAGAAACCAGGACCCACCGCATTCATGAGCTTTGCTTCCACCATCGATCCATCCCCAAAAAAGGCTCTAACTTTGACCCTCAGGGTGCAGATGCAGAAAGAGGTGCAAGAAGGGCATGTCCTGCAGCCACAGTCCAGGCCCAGCCCCCTCACTGTATCAGGCTGCTGTGTCAGGAGGCCACTTGCTGCTCCCCTGGGAGGGACGCCCTTGCCAGGCTCAGAGGCCCCTCCCCCGACCGTTGCCTACTCTGTGACACTCCCACCAACCTGCAAAGGCTCCTCACAGAGGTCCAGCTGGCAATGCCCAATCACCCCACTCATCTCATGTTCCAGCTCCATCCTCATGGTGAGCACAGCTAGCACTGACAGTCCAGTGGCCACAGGCCATGCCCAAACCTACTGGACAATCCCTGTGCCTCCGTGGGTCTCCTTTGTCCATCTGTAAAATGGGCAGGAAGAACTCTGCCCTCTCCACCAGGTGGGACCCCTTCCCGGGAGACAAGAAGGGACTCTTGAGGCTGTGACACTGCAGCCAGCCAGGCACCTGGTGACGGCCCCCGAGTGTCCACTCACAGCCACTCCACCAGGGCAATGGGGAAAAGAGACCCTGACGCCAACCCAGGAGGGCCAGCACAGCAGCTCCTGGGCTCCGAGAGGAGAAAGCCGCTCTCCTGACCTCACTACCTCTGGAGGCTGGCACCCCCACATCCTGCCGTCACGCCCCCCCAGCCAGGCTCCGGAGTGCCAGGGACCCAGGGGGCTGGGACTTCACCCCACGCTTCTGGCAGGAGTGGTACGGAGCCGAATCATGCTGATCGGAACTCCAACTGGCAGCAGAGGATGTCTTTGATCAATAAAAAATGGGAAAGTGAATTAATGTCCTTTTATTTATGCCACACTCGTTCCAACAACCATTTAAAACAGCGCTGTTACCGTTTAGTAGGTGTGGCCCGTCAGAACAGATCCAACTCGGGGCACACAGGGTGGACCCTTTGCAGCGTGGATCCTGGGCCCACTTGATCCCTCTGGGTCCAAAACACCCCACACAAGAGAGCAGCACCCAGAAATGGATGAACAGACATCCATGAAGCAGCCCAAGTTGGCCCTGGAGTCCACCAACATCCTGTCTCCCCAGCAGCAGGGGCCCCCGAGTCATGCAGCAGGGGCCCAGGCAGTGACCCTCATTCCCAGACCTGTCTCTGCCAAAAGCACACAGACAGTGGGACCAGCCGCAACCCCACCTTAGGGCCCCACTGGCCAGTCAAACTCGGAGGAGGAAACAGAGGCTCCCAGGGCCCCGAATCAGCCCAGATCTGTCCAGGTCCACGGCCCCCATGGTCACCCACACATGCTGCTGGGCAGCCCAGGCTGTCCCTGGGGTCATGGTGAAGGCACCAGGCTGAGCCCACACACAGAGCCCACAGAGACCCGAAAAGAATCTGACCCAGCCCCCACCGCCCTCTGCTGCAGGCAGAGAATGATCTGGGCAGAGCTGTACCCGATTATGTCCGGAC